GACCTTCAATTTCTTCAGACCATACCCACATCTTACTCATTCTTACTCAATAAGAAAGCCAAGGGATAAAGACAAGTTACATAGACATGCATGTGTTTTCTACATTTATATTCCTTCTAAAGTTACACTCCCCAAATCAGTCCTTGAACATAAATGTTATTCAAAAATCCTAAAAGCCTGTGATGATGCCAATAGAATGACACCTAAGGCTTCTCCTAATTCCAAGTTATTGATTTATTTATTCAAGAATCACTCACTATTTGCCTACTATGTGCAGAACACCATATGAATAGCTATCCATCACTAAAGCTTAACATCATCTTTAGACTTCCATTTTTTCCAATAACTGCTATTTGCCATATTAAATTATATTGCATCATCTGCACACCTCATTTTCCATCTTCCTCTTGTTGGCTAATGGAATTCTTCCGTGAGTAGCCATCCCCTCACAGGATCCATTGTGTTAGTATGCGTTTGCTTTCTTGAAAACATGGAATGAATGAAAGTGGCATGAAGCCGAAGGCAAGATGGACCATTAATACAACCTGGAGGGAAGAGGTTGATGAAACACAGTGGTATAACTCTTTTAATCATGGCTGAGGGAAAAAAAAAAAAAACAAGTCTGTCTTTCTACACAAAAGAAGCATGTGGACAGCAGGAAAAGAATAGGGAAAGGGAGACATGTTGGCTCACAAAACCTGTCTTTGATTCTCTCTAGGAAAAGAGGGTTGATAGCAACTGTCTTCCAAATGAGAAAGAAAACAAATTTATTTTATGAGTAACAGTTAAATACCCATCAGGCAATTAGAGTGCTTTATAAAGGCAGTTTTGGAACACAAGATACTTGAAGATTAGGCATTCCTTCATAATTCAAGTTCATTGTTCCTCTAAGAAAATATGTGTCTCCCTTTAGTTATTCTCTCACGAATTATACTTTAAAGGCAAAAGGACATTTTTGATAATGCACAGCTTAAACTTTTCATTAAACTACCAAATTTAAATTCTACCTTTTTGTGCACTCTGACATTTTTGTCTGGCATTTTCATTAATTTTGCGACATACATAAATGTAGCTGAAATGTTAACTGATCAATACTTTGTCTCTCTCGTGTAGCACTAGAGCTCTGTTCCCCAAGGACCACACAGCAGAACAGAAATTAAATGTGTAAAATATCAAATGTTAATGTTAAACACAGCGGCACTTACTGTATAACGACGGAAAAGGCTAAAACAATTCCAAATGGACAGATGGTACCACAAATTATCTACAATCACATTTAAAGATTAAAGTTTGTCCTGTAAAATAATTCTTTGACGCACACTGAAGTGTGTCCTTTTACTGATAGCTCAGTTGTCCAATTATTTCTGTGCTCATTACAGTGAGAGATGACAGTCCTGGAAAGAGACAGACTATGTATTTTTTTTCCATGTTGCACCCACTGACATCCACAAGAACACAAATGTCTGGTCAAGAGCCTGATGAAAATTAGGCCCAATTTAGGAGATGTTTCAACTGCTACAATAGGCTAGTCCAAAAGAAGAACTCTCTCCCTCTCTCTCCCTCTCTCTCCCTCCCTCCCTTACTCTCTCTCTCTCTCTCTCTCTCTCACTGTGATACTTTGGTGGTAGAACAATATTAACATATATTTTTTAAAAATCTCAAAATGGTACAGAAACCTAATCCACAGCCTGCAAAAAACAAGAATTCATGGCAAAGGGTTATGCTGTATTTTACTCATTGCACTGCATCCTGTCCAACCTGTAATTTAGAGTCTATTAGCTCACATTGATTCTCCCCTATAGTAGAGATAGTGCTAAAGAAACTACAGCTTCCCTAATCTTACATTTCTTCATATTTTCACTTAATTGAATTGGGGCACATGACAGCGTTTTTCCATTTTGTTTTCATTTGGAAAGGGAAAATTAAAAGTATATGGAAGTTGGATACATTTCTAAGGAAACTCATTGATCTTTGGGCCCCAAACCAGTGTAGTATAAATGTGTTCTGAGAAGCAACAGCAATACTTCTGGAAAAGTGGCTCAAAAGGAATCAGCACTATTATAATAGACTTTTAAAGCAACTAAAGGAAGGGAAGGGAACAATGCATCCTTTTAAAAATGGTATACTACTCATACTTCTAATGGAAAGCAGCTTCTGTTCAAGTTTAAATACCTTTTTTTGCTTTTTTTAAGGCCCTGGTTACAAAGGTTTAAAATTTTCATTTTTACTTATCCGTATTACTTGCTAATAATAAGATTACTTTAAAAAATAGATGATCTGGAAGGGACAGTTTCTTTTGCTGAATCGTTACAGAATTTATAACATAAAACAATTATTTTAAGAAGGAAAAAAACACTGATTCCTGAGTCCAACAACAGCTTGTGTTGTCAGATTTCAACCTGATGGTCTTAAAAATATCTGATTGACAGGCCATTGAAAACATCATTTTGAATGGAAACACCAAGTTATAAGTTATGATGTATTAATTGTTTGATAATAAACTGTAGGCTTATCATCAAACAATATCTCTAGATGGACATCAATATCTATTTTTTGTAGAAATCTTTTCTTTCTAAAATGTAAGATACATTCTGCCACCTTTTAAAAACAGACGATATTGAATATAATTTAATCTTCCTTAATTACTCAAAATCATCACTGTGATCAGTCTGTTTTTTGTTTTTATTTTTTCTGTTCCCTCCCTCGGTGCCAGCTTTCAATTTTCCCATTGTCATCATGATGACCTCACTCTATCTTCCTCTTGTTTGTTGCCTGGAATCTGCTATTCTCTGGGAAGCTGGATGACCAAATGTCTTAAAAACTACACGATGAATAAGATTCAATAAATTACTGGATGAACAGGGATCTAAATTCTTGACTTTAGAAGAGGGCTTTTGTGATAGTTATTTGGGCATTAAGATACAAATTTTTATAAGATCATAGATTTTGAGTTGGAAGGGACCTCGTTGATACTCTAGTCCCACCCTCTCTCATTTCATAAAAGAGGAACTGAGGCCTTGAAAATGTAAGTGACTTGCCCAAGGCCACAAAAGCAGTAAGTAGCAGCGTCAGGATTTGAACCGAAATTTCTTTGATTCCAAATTCAGCACCCTTTCCACAAAACCCTGATGATTTTATTTCACCTACTTCAGGATATGGGGCTGTGTTCCAAAGGTTTGAGCTTGCATGAAAAAGACTCAGAAATGAATTCTTGTTAAATTTATAAAAAAAAAGTGAGATCTGATTGTCTTCCAATGAGATCAGTTAAGAAACAACACCTTAAGGGTGTCTTAACGATCTCCTGGGAGTCCCTTACAAGATTCTGCATGCAGGGTCTTAATGAGAGTTTAGAAATCTGGCTGCTATTTTGAACTCACATTATCTGAGAGATCTCTGGGAGCCAGTTGCAAAGCTTATGTATGAAGCAATATAAAACTCACTTGAGAAATCACAATATTCAGAATCACCTAATTTATTGCTAAACAAATGGCTTAGTTGTAGTTGTTTATGTTTTCCTAGTTCATTAGCAGTCTGTGGTTCTCTCTCTCAAAGAGTGAATCAAAGATGGAAACCACAGTCTTGCAGCCGGATTTTTGCTCATGTGTTACAGGTCTTCAGGAGAACCATGGGTGATGATGGCAAGTAATAAACAAAAAGCAGCTCATTTTCCATTTCTCAAATTACCACCCACCCCACCTAGCAAAGAGGAAAACTAGCTAATATTTCATCTTCTCCAACTCTCACCAACTTGGCGAGTGCAATGCTACTATGGAAAAGCCTCTGCAGAAAGTAACAACACCATGCTTGTTTGTTAGATTAAACTATTTTAGCTCCCACAGAATCTGCTATGTTAAAACTTCATGGTGACAGCAGTAGCTTTCCTTATGGCGGCAGAAATATGTCAATGGGAAACAGGCAACCTCACTTTCTGGTAACTTGTAACACAAAGAGAGATACCCTTTGTTCCAAGGGCATAGACATTAATGAAAGTTCTGTTCAAAGACTGGGGAACAGATTACAAAGTACTAAAAAAATGTGCTCACATTAATTTGAATGGTAATACTAAAATGTCCATTTGTTACTACAATTAGAGAAATTTTTGAAGACAACCCTAATAAAACCATAGTCTACCAAATTAAGGACTCAAGAATATGGATGTACTTTCATTTATATCATCACCAACATGAAAGTATAATTTAGGGATTTGAAAAAGGCACAATACATTGAAACTTCAAAATCTGCTTCACACACAAATGGTGCATAAACACAAAGAACATTCCTCCCAAGTCCCACTTGAGGCAGGGGGCAGGCATCCTGGATCTAGGATTCTCTGGCTCTGTGACAGTTTTCGTCAGCTCTTTTTAAGTAATTGAAGTAAAAGGCTATAGGATGGACACTTTTAGGGGAGCTATTCTGATCTGTTACATTCTCCCTTGCTGTTTAAAAAAAACAACAACAACCTGACACCTCAGAAATAATAACATTTCTCTTAAATAGGTCACATCAATTTCCCATTGATTTCACATTTTTTTTTTCAAATCATAAAAATAGCATTCCCAATGGTCTTACACTCTTTTTTAAAAGGCAAATAATAGAAAGAAATAAAATCAAAGCATAGATTGTCAGGTTTATTAAAAATCTTAGTACCAAGGGCTTCTCTTAGCTCTGCTATGGCAAACTAGAACTGTGCAATATGGATAGTTTAATCTTTTTTTCTTTTTTTTTTTACTTTATTTGTCACTCAGATAACGAAAAAATTGCTAAGATGTCTTATTTCTGGAGTTTTGAGCTGGGGGCGTAGGGGGAGACACAAGCATTCTTGGGCCCAGATATTATACAATCCATCAGGTTCTGGCCCAGAACAAATCTCCTAGCTAAGTCTTAAAGATAGGCATTTTAAAATGGCAACACTGACATGACTGTAAGTATGGTCACAGCACCATAGCTATGATTGTCGAATGCAGTGAATAACCATGGAAAGCAGTCCAGTGTGATCATACCACGAAAGCAGCGAGACTCCTTGGGGGTGAATCCCAGTCGAAACAACTGTTAATGTAGTAGGCAGCATTTACCAGCACCATGACACAGCGCTTCATCCGGATAAAGTTTCTGAGCAGCAGCTGTGAAGAAGATGGAAATAGTGTCAGAATTAACCAGGCTTTACCCTAATCTTGCAGCTCATTTTGCTTAAAAATATGAATGGGATATATGACTCAATTTACAAGGCCATGCCAAGTGGTGGAGCTTATATGTCAAAAGAAAAGATGAAAAAACCAAGTTTTTTTTAATTGTTACCCATAATTCTAACCATAATCAAATATTCTTAAATTTTCTATCTGAATGTTAGAAAATGAAAAAGGTAAAATCATCTTCCAGAAGTAAAATTTTCTACTAAAGCACTATTTGATATAAAAAAGAAGAAATAGATCATTTAAAAATATTAAATACATTTTAGAATTTCAGTGAAATCATTAAGAGATTTCACAGTGAAATGCACTGTTTTGAGATTTCTCTTTGAGGACCTAATGCAATAATTTGCAAATTATAACTCCAATATATCTCTATACAATTTTGCACCTCTATGTTTGAATTGTTTTTTCTCTTTATTACTACATTTCTCCAGATATCCTCTGACTTACCATTCTGGTCACTACAAACCTAACCAGTATAAATTATAAGGTAATTGTCTCACTATAAGTTGAAAAATTAGGAAAAGAGATATTCTCCTCTAAAAGAATATCTTCTCCCCCAAACCATTACATTGGGGAGTGAATAATTTCCTTTCAGTTTGATTTTAATACTGTCATAAAATACAATTGTGAGAAGAATGGCTTGCTGAATCATTGGCAATATTTGTAATGACAGAACCACATCAATCATTCAGTTTAGCTCTGCAGGTTAATTTTTTAAGTGCCTTTTTTTTTTTGCTAAAGTAAAGTATATTTTAATGTCAATCTGATATGTTTAAGACTATAAATAGCTGGGTAAAATTTACTGTGATCACCATTTACAAACAGATCCCTGAGTGTATATGTGTGTGTGTGTGTGTTTGTGTTTGTGTGTGTACGTGTTTTTATTTCAGTTTGTGTATTAACAGGTTTTGAAAAGAAGCTCATAGTCTAGATTAAATAAAGCATTTGGGTTTTTTTTGCCGTCTCTACTGACAGACCCTCTAAGAACTGGTTTTGCTATAACCATGGATTATGTAGCATGTAGGTTCTAAAATGAAATAAGACACTGCATTTATAATTAATCCATTATTTTTATGCTTCAAATCATATCAAAAAGCTTGGGGGTTTATTATCCCTCAAACTGATTGAATTCCTGGCATCCAAAAAGTTTGAAAATGTTGAAGAGCATAGGAACATTTTTCAAAAATTACCACTGTTACAAAACAAAAAAAATAGACCTAGCAAGATTTTGTAGTCAAACTAAAAAGAATTCATTTGGATGCAAACATTTTTCAAATGGGATATAAGTGCACTTTTTTCTTCATCTTAATTTGGTAAAAGATCTAATTTAAAATGACAAGCATTTTCTTCATCTGATGAAAAAGTCAGATTTATTGTATTCAGTGGCCTTAGCTAAAGAGCCTCATGTATTTGCTTTTAAAGTGATATCACAGTTAAAACCTGATTAACAGGAAGATGACAACCTTCTTGCTCATAAAAAGATGGAGTTGTTACTCATCAGGCTTAAAAAGGAAAAAAAAAAACTTTTACTAGGTGCAATTTACATACACCTGCATTGCATCTGTGGATGGACTATACATACATATGAACTCAATATGGGATATGTTCATTTACATATTTCAAGGAAACCAAAAAATTTGTTTTATGTGAAAATGATCATTCTTCCTTTACAACATCTGAACATATATAAGGATCTAGATTACCTCCCCCCCACCCCCACATCCCACTGGTTTTCCCTTGGATTTTTCTGAAGGACCCACAACATTTTCACAAAAGTTAATGATCTAAATATATTTTCCCCCAACTCTAAAGTTTATTTGAAATAGTTATGTAAAGGTTTCTCTGATCAGCTCAGGTTTTCCCAGAGGGTTTAAACTTTTTATTTGTTTATTTATTTATTTTTGTTTTTACCTGTTTAGAGAGTCTGTTTTCCTCTTCAATGTACTTCTGCTCTTTGGGAATTAATGTTCGGATGCTGGCTTTCACCTACATATCAAAATATGTGTCTATGTTATGGATTTCTCTGTTACCAATGTTTACTAGTTACACATATTTCAATTTGCCATAATTCCCCGAGTTTCAAAGTCTTGGCTGTCATGCTCATAAAATATAAATGTCTAAAGTTCCCCATGCATGAGCTTCAGTCTCTTACAGGAGCAGTATCAGGGGCTGCTGCTGCTGCTGTAGCAGCAGCAGCACCAGCAGCACCAGCAGCAGAAGCAGCAGCACGCACCACCGCCACTGCATAGTAATAGGAAGAGTGGGTGTGCCATGCAGAGGCAGAGAAGTATTCTCCAGTATACGTCAAGGTTTAGAGAAAATGAAGAATGACAGAAATTCTCTACAAATCAGGAACAAAAGCTTTCATGAAACTGAACTCTTTAGCAGTACAAAAAAGCCAAAGTTAAGACTTACAGCATTAAAAATCACATCTATTTCAAGATAGATGACCCCCTTTGTTGGCCCTGTCAGCTGCTTGTTTTTCAAGACGTAGGCTTTCTGTTCACCATTTTGAATCTGCGGGAAAAGGACATGACAGCCGTCTGTCTCCAGGTCTCCACTGAATACACTCCCTCGGTGACCTTTGACCCCCAGCTGCTGAAACTGACAGAGAACCCAAAACAACTGTGGCAATTCTGACAAGTACCTGTTCATTACCAGGATCAAGTCTGTCAAGAAAAATTAACTATCATGGGATTCAACATGGCCGTGAACTGAGTATGTTAAAATTTTTAGTGTTCTTATTACAGACCTTGGTTGAGAAATGACAGACACAGGACTGAGGTTTTTTGTTTTTTTTTTTCCTTGAGCAAAAGCAATCACAGAGCAGGGTGTCAGGTAGATGAGACTTACAGTCAGCAACGGTATTGCAACTTTGCCCAGGAAGTCAGCACTTCGGTCTCGATCTTCATCGTAAACCGTCACTTCAAGGACTGAATGGATATCTTTAATGTTGCTATATTGAAAATAAACATATGCAGAAAAAATGCCTTCGTTAGTGGTTAACAAGGACAAAATGGGGTTTTGAAAAGTCAGCTGTCCCCCACTGATTTTATATGTTGGTGTGTATACATAAGAAGAGGGAGGCAAGGCACTGAGTAAGTCAGAATCTCCCATAATGCATCTGAATAGACTGCAATTTGTGAGTCTCTTACCGGGGAATTTCACCATCTTTAAGAATTCAACACAAAATTATTTCTTAAGTTATCCACCTGATCTATGATCAGAGTAAGTTATTTTTCAAAAATCATCATTAAATGACACAGAGATATAAAGGAAAGACCATTTCTTCCCACTGCTTCCTCTAGTTGCCATTTCTTCCTCTGCCTACATTTCTCCCTCCTACACTCAACTTTTGGGGCATAAACTCCACTAAGTTTGATATCTTATAAAACAAAATTGCTTGTACAACTAATATAATGCCTGTAAGTTCTACAGTATACGTAAATGACAGAATGATTGCTCTTAATACTAGAGTATCCTTTGGGGCTAAACATCTTTTTCAAACCGGAAACTTAAATTCAATATAAAACAGGAAATGCTTCTTGCAAGAGCAGGAAACCCAAAATGGAGTCTGTACAGCTATGATACTGTCCTGGGATTTAGAAACTAAGTCCTGTTCCATTATGCTCTGCAGATGACATATGTTGTAAGAGACTGTGTGAGCTCCTCATATTTTTGTTTTTGGAAAAATAAAACCAAATTGTTGACAGCACTTATCCTTTGATCAAACTGCTTACCAAGAAAACATGAATTAAAGGAAAACAAAAATGAATATATTCATTAGAGAAAAATCACAACCACATGTGAGAAGAGGCTTTATCAGGGCACAATCAATTAATGGATCTGATAATAATCAAACCAATTCATACAATTATGCATGCCAGAGACAAACGCTCTCCACAACCATCTTAAAAGTGCTGCTTTCCAGGCTAGCCTTTGGTCTCATAAAAATGTGGAATTCTTTAAAGACAACCATTCAGCTAGCTGAAGCTTTAGTTACAAGCTCTGAGAAGATACAAGAAAACAAATTAATGAAGAATTTGGCATGTTTCTTCATTGACACAGACTGAAACCATGACAAAAACCTCATGAACGGATAACTGTTGAGGCAGTTTTCTTTTGTTTAGACTTCATTAGTCAGGCCCCAAGAAGAAAAGGGTAGAGTTGTAAGATGTTACAGAATATCGGGAGTGTCCTGGGTTTGATTCTAAAAATTTTAAAGTTCTAAAACAATACGGAAATTAACTCAGAGGATGTTTGGGGGCCAAGGACAATACTTAATATTCTTATTATGCTAAAAAGAAACACCAAAAACAGTGTCTGCTGGATTCTTGATTGGATTGTTTGCTGATTTTCAAAATAGTACAAATAGAGCTTTGTCTGCTTTGGTGTCAATGCAACTGGAGACAATTTCAATAGCAAGGATTAAAGAAAGCAATATAGTGAATCATTTGGGGAGGGTACCCCTCAATTGATTTTTATTTTAAAAAATCATCTGCAAACACCAACATGTGGTGAAAACCTCTGTCCTAGTTCCATATGAAGAAGGAACAGACTTCATTCTGGATACTGTCTTTGGAAGTTGATTTAGCAAAATGGAAGACCCAATGAAAAGAGACTTATAGGGAAAATACTACATTTTAAACCATATTTTCCCAAATATTCTCAATTATTTAAAGGAGTAGGCAGACTTACAATGTAAAGACTTTGTTCCATTCAGGGTTGAGATTTTTGTAGACTGTGTGTGTCAGTAATCTATCATTGTTCAGTTCTACTACGCAAAATGGGTCACTTTTACCTGCAAAGAGAGATTGGGATTTCAGATGAAAAGCATTCGTATAAAACTGACCTCAGATGACATAGTGAAGATCTATAGTTATTGCTTCTCTCCCATGGAAAGAGTTTTTAAGGACCAAAAAGGCAACACTACTTTTATTTTGTTGTTGCTGTTCAGAAATAATTGGATGAACAGAACAATAATTCTGATTTATTAGAAATTTACAAAATGAGCACAATGGAGATCAAATTATAAAACTAGCCTTTTAATTTAGGTTTTTTTTTCTTTTTACAAAAATAATAACACAAATGCTAATGTAGGGGGAAAAGGAAATTCTTTGTCCACTGCTAAATCTCTATTTATTATTTTTATAATGACCATTTGAAAAGTATTTTGTTCTCATGTATAAAGTTTTTAATTCATTTGATCAATTAGTAATGAAGTAGGAATTCCTAAACAAATTTATTAGAAGAATGCAGTGCTACATGCTGATTTTGTGTGTGTATCTAGATAGACATCTATATATACACACACATATATATACACACATGTGTATATATGTATATATGTATACGTGTGTGCATGTGTATATGTGCATAATACATACATACATACACACACCCACACACCCATATATATGTATATATACATATATATATATATATCTACAGATATACAGATAGAGAGAAAGAGGGGAGACACTTGTTTAAGGATTGTTTTAATTCTGTTCTCTTATTGTATTTATTATGCTACAGGACAGTAAACCAGGCCCTGCAAAGGAAAGAAATTCTGCTACATGAACTGAAGCATGGACAGACAACTCATCTGCATGTTAAAGAGCAGCAAATTTGACTGTCTACCCAGGGCAAAGGGTTTGAAAGTTCTGGCCTGCCTATAGTGACTCTGCCAGACTAGAATCTAGCTCACTCAGCAATTATATTCCATGATGTCCTCAATATTTTTGTAATATAATGTCATGTATTATAAGAACCCACAAATTCAAAGGCTCCAAGGGGCGGCATTAATGATATTAGTACGGCATGTAATTTGTTTGATACCTTATACAAATGACAATGAAATCAATATTTAGACAAAGCTGCGCAGAGGTCGTATCTTCTAAACTACAATATTGATTTAGACTACATAAGAGGTTAATGTGCATATTATTAACTTTAATGATAAAGAATAATTGTTTTAAATGCATTGTGAATTGCAGTCACAGTAGTTTACATTTCTGTGAAAGCTTAAATATCATCAAAGCTTTTCAATTAAATTTTAATAGGAATGAATTCATTATTACTGAAAAAAAAGCAATGCATGACAGTGCAAAGCTATATTTATCTTCCATGGGACAATTCCTCAAAGAAGCTGTATAAACTTATACCCCACTTTCATTTATTTTTTCATTTTGATTTATAGAAAAGATGTTTGCTAGTTCAGTGGACTCCATATACTCTAAGAAAAGTGATTTATTAAGGATTATGCTTTGTGTCTTTAAGGCCTACTTTCCCATTTCTGCAATCTTTTTATGAGAATAATTTACACGAATATACCAAGGGCATCTTTGATAAAGAAATGAGAAGAGAATAAGTAGGCTTTTGCAAATGATTTTCTACAGCAAATAAAATCTTTACAGTCACACAATTGACTGAAAAGTACATACAATAAAAAAGTCCCGCTGTGTTTATTGTTTATTGACTATAAGAAAACATTTGGTTTGGCAAAACAAAACACACTTTAAAAGCTTCTTCTACTAACAAGGTATCTCTCACGTGTATATCGAAATCATGCAAGTTTTCCTGAAAGAGGTAACTACAGAAACATTTGCATTAATAGCAAAGGAGACACAAAATGGTGGCAGTGGAAAGACTGTTTACTGATCTGAAGTTAGGAGATTTGGGTTCAAATTATGGCTTTGCCACTCAGAAGTTAATGACCTGACTAGGGTCACCCAGGTCACCATAAGGTACCCTAGGCAGGTCATTAATTTCTCTGAGTCTCATCTGTAAAATGAGGAAGTTGAACTGGAAGACCTTGAAGACTTGTTCTTTCTTTTCTTTTTTTTTTGGTGAGGCAGTTGGGGTTAAGTGACTTGCCCAGGGTCACACAGCTAGTAAGTGGCAAGTGTCTGAGGCTGGATTTGAACTCAGGTCCCCCTGACTCCAGGGCCAGTGCTCTATCCACTGTGCCACCTAGCTGCCCGAAAGACTTGTTCTTGAGCTAAATTGACTTAGCTCTTTAATGACCCCTCCCCACTCCCAACCTCTCCATGAAACTACGGACAATGTTTTTGTTTCTGCTCCTTCAGAAAAACAAAACAAAACAAAACATCATCCTTCTGATAAGGCCGAATGCCTCCAAAGCTGAAAGTAGTATGCAATATTGCAAAGGACAGTGAAGAGAGACACATGGTAGGCACGAGTAGGTTGCAACATATCACCAAAGATAATTTGTTCTGGTGAAGTGGCATGAAGGATATCATCAGAGAAACTGGAAAATGAGGCGGGCCTGTCATGCCTCTATGTGTTATTGGAGGTCATACAATGAGAGATAATGTTTAAAAAAAGATAATGCTGCATTCATCAAATAAAGAATAACATGATAATGGCTTATGCTACATATTTCAATTATATCCCATGAAATTCAGGTGACAAGATCATGAAAACAAAGCCTAAAGTTCAAAGCTTAGACATTTAACTCCAATCTCCCTTTTCAGCCTATTTGTGCAGCATTCTCCTTCATGAGTGTCCTATATTCTAGCAAAGCTGGACGCTGTACTTAATGACTCCCCAAACATGTCTCCAGTTGGCCCATTTTCTTGCCTTTGCTCACATTATTCTTTATCACTGGAATGCCCCTCCCTCCCATATTTGGAATTGAAAGCCTATTTATTCTTCAAGGTCTGCTTCCAATGCCATCCATTGCATGAAGCTTTTCTTGATTCCTGCCCCAAATACTTAGTAGGAAGTGATCTCTTCTCAACTATGAACCCATGTAAAACCTATTCATCCACCTGTTATGCATTTACACACATTCTGTTTACACACATTTAACACATTCTGTTTTAGATTATAGCTATTTATGCATAGGTTTTAGCTCTCCTCCCAAACAGCAAACTCCTTGAGGGTAGAGATCATCCTATCTATCTTTTTAGTTCTTCCAAGTCTTAGCAGATGTTTTACTATTATATGATAGACATTTAAACTTTTGTTGAATGAGTGAATGCATTTCTCAGGCCAGTTCCATTTCCCAAAGACTGAACTTTCAGCAAGTACTTAGGAAGCATCTTCTCTGTGTTAAATACAGAAGAAGAGATGCTGTTTAAAGGCAGTATTGTTTTTTCTCTGTCTCTCTGTCTCTGTCTCTGTCTCTGTCTCTCTCTCTCTGTCTTTGTTTCTTCCTTTCCTTTACATGCCCAAGCTTCACATATCATAAGAACTTGGGAAACAAATGTTGAATTGAATATCTGGAGCCTTTCATAATCTAGCCCTCTCTTAGCTTTTCAGTTTCCTTCCACTTTACTTCTCAATATGTACTCTTCGATCCAATGACACTGGCCTTCTGGCCATTTTGTGAACTAACGCTTTATCTCTTGGCTCTGGGCAGAATGTTCTCCCTTCTCAGCTCTACTGACCTCACTGGCTTCCTTGCTGGCTTGGGATTTAACCCAACTGAAGTTCCATCTTTTACTGGAAGACTTCCTCAAATCATATTAATTCTAGTGCCTTCCCTCTCTTAATTATTTCCTTTCAATCCTGTATACTAGGGCAGCTAGGATGCAGTGGGTAGGGTACTGGCCATGGGGTCAGGAAGACTCATCAACCTGAGTTCAAATCTGGCCTCAGACACTTATTTGCTGTGTGACCTGGGCAAGTCACTTAAACCCTGTTTACCTCAGTTTCCTAATCTGTAGCTGGAGAAGGAAATTGCAAACTATGTCAGTATCTTTGCCAAGAAAACCCCAAATGGGATCACTAAGAGTCAGACACGACTGAAAATGACTGAACAAGAACAACATCCTGTATATAGCTTACTTTGTATATATTTGCACGTTGTCTCCCCCATTAGATTGTAAGCTCCTTGAGGGCAAAGACTGTCTTTGGCCTCTTTTTGTATCCCCAGAGCTTAGCACAGTGCCTGGCACATAGCACATACTTAATAAATGTTCATTGATTGACTGATTGATAGAACCCTTTGGAATACACAAAAGAAGTGAAAAACCTAGGCTTTGCTCTCCAGCAGTTTGTCATCCAGTTGTAGGAATTGAAATATGCACCTGACCCAGAACAATTGCTCCCAGCAGTATAAGGGACACACTTCAAAGCCAAAGAGATTTTAGTGTCCCCAGAGAACTTTACATTTACATGTCAAGGGTGGATCTACACGAAGCTGAGCAGGTCTTTGCTATTGATTTTCATTTCCTCTGTATTTGTTTTATTTCCACTTAAAATCAGTACTTATCCCATTTACCAACTAACTCTGAAAGCTCCAGAACAAAATAATAATAAGTAATGGATATAGAAATAAAATTTACACAAGTTCTAAATGCAAGAGATTAATGCTTTAAGCTGTGTGTTTGCAGTGGAAAGAACATTGGTCTTGGCAGTTGAAGATATGGGTTCAAATTCTGGTTTTGCTACTTATTTCCGGTATGACCTTAAGTAAGTCACTCCTCCTCTGGGCCTCGGTTTACTCATCTATAAAATGAGAGAGTTGAACTAGATGGATGGCCTCTAAATCCTTTCTAGTGCCAAAGCTGTGATTCTATGAACCTAATTTTATTTGTAAGAGTAATATTTAGTTCCTTAAATTGAGCTCTCCACTGCTCAATGGAAGGTTCCAAAATTTATTTCTTTCATTAATTGCTCTAATTAGCTCACAGCACAGGAAGGTCTAGGTTCTCTGTATTTTGCTGTTGGCTAAAATATTTTTATTATAAGAATTCTCCCTTAGAATACCAAACCTGTTTCTATTTGTTGATGCATTGCATTTCTTAATCCATAAAGATTTCAATAAAGTCA